TCCCCTATTCATAAAAATTGTATGACGTCACGTCAACCATGCATTTCCCTATCTCACCTTCAAGGGGGTGATATATTCTTTTAATCTAACAACAGGAAAAGTGTTGATACACATGTCCAGGATAAGAGAAAAAATATATTCTTAAACTAGTATCAATTGTAATCCCTGATGGGAAAAATCCAGCTACTAGGCTGTGATCCATATCATGTTACTATAACCTGTCGTCAGAATTGTGTGACAAGGTGAAGTCTCCATTCCTACGTGTCTACTTGGCATGTCAGTAAGCTGGCAGTAGAAGGTTCTGAGTGGCCCCATCATCATTACACCATATTTGCCTTTATTTAAGGATTGACCTACATTTTGTCGGCATTTACGGTAGTATGAACACAATTGGCAACGGATTTAATCTATGGGGCACCTTAGAGTTCCATAGAATACATTCAATCTGGGTTTACTAAGCTCGAGAAAGGCAGGATGTAAATATATTGAGTCAAAATGCTGAAATGAAAAAATAAATAAATGAAAAATGAGGAATTTTATCAGACATAGTAACCAACACACCATCTCGCGTCATTTTGCATACAAAGCAACGATTTGTTATTCATATTGCAGGCACGCCTTTTCCTAACAACAAGTCGATCTTTGCTCGATAACACTATTTGTTTTACGTCTGACGATGACGGTCGACTCAATGACAGCACAGATTTGTCGTGTGGTTAAAGTGCTGACAAGAAAAAATCATTAAGTTGGCATTAAAAGTTACACAGATGAATAGCTTTATATAGACAACATACTAGGAAATCATAACGTATTTCTAAAACGGAACAACTGCAAAATGGTAAACATTCTCTTATGAGGTAAAGAGATGATGTTCCGAAAAGTAAAACCCATACATAATCCTTTCTATCCTTCTACAGTTCTTTTTGCATCAATTGTTTCTTTTATCCCCACTTTCGTTTGTGATATCGATCAATCAATTACTAGAAATATGTACTTCTATATCTTGTCAAGAAAAACATCAATCCACGGGTGGCATATAGATCAGCTTCAAAATGTGTTCTTAATGTATTAGCTCTGAAATAAAGTGAAGTTACAACTAATATAATGACTATTCACATTGCAAGCACGCCTTTGCCAAACAATAAGTCCTTCTTTTTACGATATCAGTGTTCGAGTCTTTAGCAGTACAGATAAAATGACGTCAATGTTTGACATTTGGTAAAAGTGCCGACAAGAAAACGCTAGCATTAAAGTAGCACAGATGGAAAGTTGAATATAGCTGACATTCTAGGAAATATAATTGTTACTTTAAAAAGGAACATCTGCAAAAAAAACCACGTTAATATATGATGTTCCGAAAACGTTAAACCCTTAAAATCCTTTCTAACATTATCCATCTACAGCAATTTGCATCAACTGTTTCTGGTTTTTTTTTATTCCAACCTTCATGGCTAACATCAGTCAATAATGGACTATTCTTCTCCGACATAAAATACATTGCAAGCATATATCAGCTGATATACGCGTTCTTTATATATTCACTCTAAAGGAAAGCAACGTTAAACATTTATTCGTATTTCACCTTAGATTTGAATAACTACGTCGTTTTGAGACATTCCTGTGCTTAGACTATACCTTCTATTACACCATGGCTGCATTGCAAATCAACCGTTCCAAAAGAAGACCCCATATATCTTTTGCTTTTATATAGTATATATGACGCACTAAATGCTTAACCTTTGAGAGTATCTGGTTTGGTATTTATGTCCTTTTAGCCATACTTCCTTTTGTCGCCTTGAAGTGCCAATTTAAACTTTCGATATGTGTTTTATCATATTGGTACTTTTTCTAAAGATTTCTGCAGCTGGAGATGATCCAGGGATAATCTAATATAAAAAAATATATACGGTCAGTGCAATGACAAACAAAATTAGATTCATGAGGAAAATGACATTATACCCTCTCTGTGACCTTTTGTAGTTGCTTCCTCCTTCCTGGACCTACAGTGGCAATATTGGATTTTCCAGACAAGGAAGGCAATAACCAGATCATGTGACATATTATATGTCCTTCTCCCGTACAATGTATTTCCCTCAACTACTTCCACCTTACGTAAATATCTTTGAGTTTAATTGCAATTGCATATCATGTATCTATAGCGAAATATCTACACGGTATCAAGGGGGACAGCGGCTTACTGTTTTCCACTGAATGATTGGAGGAGGTGATTGACATCGACCTCAGCGGAAATCAAATCTACTGCATCAATCTTAAACACTTAAGTTCTTATTATTTCTTTCTCAACTATAATGTTTGTGGGCGGGTTTTGTATTTCGAACATATCTCTTGGCTAATAATCTAGCTTGACACTCTCAGACCTCATCCTGGTTATAAGTCTTTAAGAAGATGAATGTTAGACACCCACAGGTGATTGTACCTATAACATTTGGTAATACATAGTTCCTACAGTGAGCGAAAAACCTATTAACGCTGCATCATACAGCTGTTTCGTCCTTCCGGACTAAGCGGTGATCCTAGGCACCAAAACTTTGGAAATTCATAATCTGCTGAGACATAATAGGAGGTTCATAAATCTCCTTTACTATATGAATTTGAAAAATTAGAGAAGTACTTGTTCATTTCAAAATAATGATGATGAATGTGTGTATATAATATATGAACCGTGCCACAATTCAAAAGATAGGATTGCGACTGACACGGTTACGGGAAACTCAGGGACTGAGCATCAACATCAAATATAATACTACATGTACCTGTGGTTTTCGTTAATGCTATTGATATCATTGTTTTCCTATCGTTTGGAGAAATACTGTAGATGAAATAAAGGTTGATGTACAGTCGTGTTTGTTGTATATTTGACTTGTGATAAATGAGAACCCCCAACCCGAAATGTGTGACCCCTGACCTCTTCCAATTTTACACATTTTGTGGTTTCTGTTGACATCGCTCTTGGTTGATCTTTGACCCAGAAACATAAGTGTGTCACTGAAATTAATGAGACTCACACAAGTATATCGCCTTTATCACGATTTTTCTCACTAAATTTGACTGGTTGTATATTTATGTTGATATAAATGTAAAATTTAGTAACAAACGCCTCACCTGCCCTCTCCTTAAACTCAGCCTGTTTCAAGCTGTCCATATTAACACTATTGTACGCTAACATTTAAAGTGCATCATTAATATCATTATGTCATAGGTTAATCAACAATCGAAGTATTCATGTGCATAGTAACGGTTTCTATGATGTGCATAGTAACGGTTTCTATGATGTGCATAGTAACGGTTACTATGCGACTGAAAATCTAATACCATGAAACGTTAGTGCAAATTGTAACGCCCTCTTATGTCAATTAACTTTTTTTTTATATTGATATATTCGTACAAAATGACATGTGTTATTTTACAAAAAACATCAAAATATCAATATGTATTTGAAATTGACGCCTTTGATGAATAAAAGAAATAAGGAAAATAATAATAGTGTAATTATATCTTAATGGCAGATTCGTACAAAACTGTGTTCAAATTGTGTCATACTTTTTGTAATTAGGAAAAGTATATGCTTGTTATGGGATTCAAAATAATTAGTAATTAAACAGGAAAGGGCCATAAAGAGAGGAAGAGTAATACAGAAAAAACAAGAATTAATTGAAGTACATGTAATTGGGTCACAGATATGCACGTGTAAGAGCATTAATTACTATCAATACTAAGATAAAAACAATTATTGCAATAGTTTTTTGATGTAATAATAAATCTCCATTCCTTTAACGATCTGATGCTTTGGCATTTACGTCACGGTTATTTATCAGCATTATTCAAAGACACTTGTAATTTACGACAGAAAAGTGAGTAAAGCACTGCAGTGAGGAAGATAATGTGGACAAAATCAATTTTCGAATATTCCTTGTGACCTAATTCTTATCCATAAATTGTCAAATATAATCACACCATCGAGGTTGTCAATATTTGAGTTTGTCTTGTTTTAAACTATCATATTTTAAACTCAAATTGCAAACATCTGCAACAATTTGTGTATATTTTAAATAGAGCAATTTATCTCTCAAAAGGATAATTACATATACAAAAGAGGGTAACTTATGTTGTTAAGATTTTTTCGTTATATATATATAGACGATTATATTGATAGATCCAGTGTTTTCCATTGATTTGAGTAATTGAGCTAATAACGAATAGAAGAGCATCTAAGCTGAGCATTTACGAGATAAATGCCTGGTAAATATCACGTTTTTATTCTTTACCTGTAATGTCTCAGGTGTTTTCATGATATGCACTGTCATCGTCTGTTGTGTGTTTATTTGCAGTAATTATCTAGTAGATCACACACCTTTACGTATGACACCCTGGCGGCAGGAGGGAGACATTGAGCTGTCAAAAAGTGGACTGGGTCGATTACGACAACCCCAATACTATCATTATCCCCAGTACAAAGACATCATGTAATGTTTGAATATACATATAAGCGTAGGTAAGCTCTTAGTTCAATGTCCTTCATTTATTTCAAAGTAAACTAAAGAAGGTTTCGCCATACAAATGAGATATTCTATGAAGCATGTTACAGGCTTTTTATTTTGAGTATGATCTGCTTTCTAGACTTAGTTCGTAAATGAAAAGAAAACTAATGTACTTAGATATCTTTTGTGAAGATTCGATGATAAAACTCGTTTAATTTTACAGGCATTACTATCGGTGTACAGGAGTTTACAGAACAAAGGTAAGCCAGCACAGGTAAATTAGAAATTAACCGGATTAAGCTCACAGGTAAGCCACAAAGTAAACAAACAAGAAGTCGGGTATTCATGTGTTGAGGAATACAAAACATAGTGTGTCATTTAAATTCACCTTGCAGTCGCGTTACTACTAGGTACAGTGGGAGCACGCGGGGCGTTAGTTACACCTTCATTATCATAGCTGTCGACTGGTGTGTACAGTGCGTATCGATCTGATTGGCCACTTGGAAAGTGGGCGGAGCTAAATGACCATTGTTGGAGAGTTTTACTACTACACACGATTAAACACACATTTTGGCGAATTTAAACAGGATAAAGGCGATTCTGTCAGCAGGTTTATTTATATTTTCACTTGTCTGCATACAGTGGTGTAAAAGTTGACTTGTCGACCAACGGATTATTACTGTGGTGGTTGTTTACGAGGGTCGTTGCGGTTATGATGCTGTGTTGTATGTAGTATACCTGGATAACGTTGACATTTGCAGGTAGATACACACAGGTAAACCAGGTGTGTTGATGCATTGCGTGCGTCTCATTACATATCGATTTAATTAGTGATCTGAACAGCTGCATAAAGGGGTATCTCGTAAGGAAGTTTGGCCCAGACAATGTTGTGTAAAGTTCTGTGAATGGAACTGCGTGATGGCCAAACGATTAATATTCCTGTACATTGCACTGTGTTGTACGGGTATTATTGCCTCTGCTACAACCATAAAGATAGCATATAGCACAACTGAGGAGAGTGGCAGCGATGACGTCATCGGAAATACTGCTGTAGATGCTGGACTTGCTAGCCTAGTGGCCGATTCCGAGGAGTTACAAGCGTTAAAGTTTAGTTTGCTTAAGCAAGGGAATCCGGACGCCTCTAGATTTTACGTTGACGAGAATACTGGAGATCTGCTAACATCGGAGTCTTTAGACAGAGATGTTATATGTGCCTTTGTTACCACGGGTTCGGACTGTTATCTTAACATGTTCGTTATTGCACGAACATCAACTGGAAGCTTCTTCAAGATTGAAATTCAAATATTGGTTATAGATATCAACGATAACACGCCGACATTTGACGAAGACGTGGTCAGTCTTTCCGTACCGGAAGGGACGGAACTGGGCACATCGTTTGACCTGGATGGTGCCCAGGACCCTGACAGTGGTGTTTACACAATACAATCGTACAGTATTAATTCCAATGACTCTCCATTTGTGGCCAAAGCTGACCAATTCCCTAACGGCCAATCCATGTTGCTGCTGATTGTTAATGGAACGCTGGACAGGGAGAAAACGGAATCATATATGCTTCATATATTGGCATATGATGGAGGTCAGCCTCCAAATACAGGCTCAATCATGGTCAACGTCACTGTGACGGATGTCAACGAGTTCCGGCCAAATTTTACACAGTCTGTGTATAACGTCACTATTATGGAGGACCATGACGTAGACGGCAGCATAACGACGGTTCAAGCCATCGATCCGGACGGCGGTGTCAACGGAGAAGTTCTATACTCACTAAGCCCACTGCAGTCTGCTGCAGTCCTAGAAAGGTTCCGAATAGACTCAACTAAGGGAGTGATAACCTTACGCACATCCCTAATGGAGGACAGTAATGAGGGGTACCGAGTGATAGTAGAGGCTTACGACAGGGCAAAGCAACCAATGATGTCACAGGCTCAAGTTTTCATCAAAGTGATAGACAATCACAACAACGTGCCGACCATCAGGGTTGACCTTTTGTCAAACACTAACTTTGCCGAGATCTCGGAACACGCGAGCCAGGGGGCAGCTGTCGCTCATGTTGCTGTGACAGACAAGGACACTGGGGCTAATGGTCTAGTAGTCTGTAACGTCTTAAACGACAACTTTCGAATTCAAAAATACGAAGATATGGAATATAAAATAGTTGTGTATACGTCACTCAATCGTGAGGTAGCGGAGGAATATAACGTAACGGTGAAATGTGATGACGCTGGAACTCCGCCAAAACACGTGACGTCGACTTTCAGGGTGCTTGTGCTTGACGAGAACGATAACGCACCAAGGTTCACACAACAGAAATACTTTGCCCATATAAGGGAAAACAACGTGATTGGTCAAAAAGCAGTTACAGTAACTGCGACAGACATCGACAAGGGGACTAACGCTCTCGTGACGTACGCTTTGGCCCCTACAAACAACGGAAGGTTCCAGGTACAACCGGAAACAGGTCAGATATCGGTAAACATTCAGCTCAATAGAGAGGTACAGGGGCAGTACAGCTTCCAGATCATGGCTGTGGATAAGGGAACTCCAGCATTGACCGGAACTGCCGTCGTGTATGTCATCGTGGAGGATGAAAATGATAACTCGCCAACATTTGGTGAGAACCATTTCCACTTCTATGTCCAGGAGAATCTCGCGGTGAACACAAGTATCGGTATAGTGAGTGCTTACGATATTGACCTCGGTGACAACGGGGTGATTGAGTATGCATTATCATCTCTAACGGAAGTACCGACGCCGTTCTGGCTAATGGAAAACGGAAGTATCATGACGTCGGCGGTTCTAGACCGTGAGGTAGTGGAACGGTATGACCTCACGATGACGGCGCTGGACCGAGGTGACCCGCCTCGCGAGGGGTCAGCCATCATCACAGTACACGTGATCGACGATAATGACAATGGACCCATCATCATGTTCCCGTCCGAGACGAACAGCTCCGTCTCCATCCCGTACGAAACACCACAAAACCGAGTCATCAGTACCATTGACGCGTACGATAAAGACTCGGGTCTTAATTCAAAGCTATCATTTTTCACCAGAGACTTAAATATTTCGGAGTACTTTTTATTAAACAGTTTTTCTGGAGAGATTTACCTTATAAAAAGGCTTTCACCATCAGATATCGGGATGTATTCCTTTGAGGTACTGGTGCAGGACGGGGGCATGTTTCCGCTCTACGCCACTCGGACAATGACCATCACCATTACGGACAGTTTGACCAGTGAAAGTTTCCCCAGATATGTCACGATAGCAATCTGTATTTCAGTCATCACCTTATTTCTGGCAGTACTTTTATTTTTTGCCATATACCTTGTGAGGCGAAACGACATGAGGAAACCAGGCAGCTTTGACAAACAGGTCGACGACAGTTTCTCGGACAAGACAAGACAAGACGAGGCTGAGGCCGGATTTGGGGACTTGACCCTCGACCGGAACTGTAATGTGTATACCCAACAGACGTTCAGCGTGATCGGTATCCCCAGAAGGCCCCCCATCGACCGGTCCATATCGTTGCAAGTGAGTATACGTGACATCCCTCTAAGTAGCCAAAGTATTTTCCTACCCTTCCACAAAAACTGAATTGTCTATCAAAATGTTCTTGTGCAGTGGGAGGGTCAGAGGACAATCAAACAATCATTTTACATTATCCTGCGTCAGTCGATAACAAACCTGTCTATAGCAACCTCTAACTTGACAGAAAAGGTCGTTATACACAATTTTGCCTTGCCTCTAACTTGTTCTTTTCCCCCAAATAATTCGGCCCTCATCCTCCTCCTTAGATACAGTGAATACATCCAATGAATGTCCTTATTCTCCTCCTCCTCCTCCTCCTCCTCCTCCTCCTCCTCCTNGTTACACCAGTTGAATATCCCTCTTCCACCTTCCCTCCCCCCTCTCCTACCCCTCTCCATCCTCGTTCCCTTACTAGTTGCAGGCAGCGATTATACCAGATGAAGGTATCTTTTCCTTCTCCTCCTCCTGTAAGTCGTAAGATGAGGTGATTACGTCAGGTGAATATCCCTCCTCCTCCTCCCCTCTTCCTTATCCCCTCCCCCTCCCCAACCTCGTCCCCTAACTCGTTGGATGCGTTAATTACACCAGGTGAATATCTCTCGTCCTCCTCCCCCTCTCCCTCCCCAACCTCGTCCCCTAACTCGTTAGATACAGCGATTATACCAGTTGAATGACTTCTCCTTCGTCTCCTCGTCCCCTAAGTCGTTAGATGCGGTGATTATACCAGGTGAATGCTCCTGTCTTGAGGAGATGCTACTAATAGAAGTGTAATTCCCGTGATGAAAGGTAAAAGACTCCTCATTGACAGTCTATTGATCTATGTAATGAAGTCTTCAGATGTTCTAATGATAAGTCTCACTCTAATGTTAATCAATAATCACAGGGACAATTCAAGCAACCAGAAGTATGGTCAGGTCTACATCAAGCTGGCTTTAAATACATTTAAAGAAAAATCCTATAAAGTATTTGATTTTAAATGAATAGATAAAGAAACGAAACAAACATTTTCTTCGGGAAAAGCAATTGTTTCATTTAGGAAATATGACTAATTTGAAATGGAAATCAACACAACAATATTTACAATTAAATTATAGATATAAAAGCAAGCATGTGACGGCTGTGTTTGGTAAATTATAAAACACATCAGAAATCTAGGGATGGTTTAGTTAAAATATATCTCATGAATTAAACACATTTTTAATTAAGATAAATTGAATGAATAAAACTGTATATGAATGAAACGATTAACATATAATAAAACAAATATATTCAAACTTCTGTAGATAGTTTATAAAATATATATTATTATATAAAACACCCATTTATTTACAATTGAGAAGAAAAAATAAACTTTTATAACTTATACAAAGACAGTCAACATATTTGCAATATGGATGCCTTTTTTTAATAATATAAAACTACATAAATATGATGTTTGAACTTTAATAATACCAATTCATGAAACAAAAATATATACACTTCTCGAGAAAAGTAATAAAAAAATTGGCAGAATGTTTTTTACTGCATAACCATAATACACTTAGTCGCGTGTCATTCATATTGCCAGAAATTTAATTATTTTTTGAGTACAAAAAGTCACAATTTATATGATATTTTTTAATAGTTGATGTCACTCTTTATAATTAGTTTATAGTTGTCACAAAATTGCTGTCTGATCGGAATGTCATATTTCATTCTCTACACCACTGGGAGTCAAACACACGCATTACACTATTAAAAAACTTTAACTTTTAAATTACTGTCTAAAAACAACCCAAGGATGTTTGGGATTCATTGTGAATGTGTGAAGAATGTTAAAAATCAATTTTGAATGGCTGTATACATTTCCCAAGAGAAAAATAAACATCTTTGGAACTTATCAAAATATATCGGAATTTAATATTTTGACATTTCCCCTTTACGAGAGATGGATAAAAGGTATTAGTGTCATGTTGAAAACCAGAAATTCATTTCTAAAGTCTAGAATATTGACGCACAATGGGGGAGGAGAAAAGCGTTAAATCCCGTTTGAGGGTTTAAACGTAGATACTATTTAATATCCGAGTTTCTCAGTTAACAAACATCACCGCAGAGTCATCTTATACAAACATTGTTTATTCAGCTTTTTTAAATTAGAAAAACGTTTGATTTATTTAAGATATAACTTGTTGTGTCTAAGTCTAGTTTGATTCCGAACGGTTTATTTTCTTTACGTATTAAAATCTTTCCGCAAATGTCTTGTTAAGTTTTGCCAAAAGAATCCGATTTTGGCCTTACTGGTGATATAGCGTCTCAAAGCAGACACAGGTGTATATATAGCGCCGTAGTTATCATGCATTATTCCCTTTTGAAACGTTTAAATAGTTCTACATTCAATTTTATCGTTCTATGACGATCACTAAATGTACATCGCTCCATGCAGAGACGATTATACGCAATTACTGAACTCGGGTTCGTTTCGTTTCTCTTTTCCTGTGGGAATTTTTATTTTTCAACTTTAGTTCAAGTCGTGAGGAAGTCACTTTGAGCAATTTACCAATGCAGTTATTTCATTATCTAAATGTAATTTCGTGTGGGCTGTCATCTTAAACGTATGGGTTGAGTAATTCTATTTCTAGGAGTTGTGCTGGCGGCGAATAATTCAGTTGAAGTTTGTCTGTGTGGAGAAATACGGTTTATGTTTTTGCTGTTTGCGATAAAGAGTATCTCAGATTTTTATTTCCTTCAATGACACTTGAACATGATGGAGCTTCGGGGAGCTGTATATCTCGTTTCTAACTCCGTAAATAGATCTAAACGTTTTAAGGACGTGTGGGCTTATTGACGATTGAAGATGCTTTTGAAGTATACAGAGTCTTACAAAGTCTATAGGGAATTCATACACACACTACACAGTCACTAATTGTTACAGGGCTCTACGGGTCGCACCTGTTTGACCCGCAACCTGCGTTCAGGTGTGTAATTTTAACACATAATTGATATCATATCGAACTCAAGTGTCTGTGCCGATCGCGTAAATATATGAACGTATAACAGTCCAGAACGCGAGACTTTTCAAAAAGCACCGTCGGTTGAATCAGATTTTACACCAAACTGATTATTATATATTTTCCTTTAATGTATAAAAATGAAAGTGAAATACATGTCTGATATCTGCATTTGATCAGTGTGTTTTCACCACCAAATTTCGGTTTGTGTCCCTTTAATGAAAATTCCCCGGATCAAATAGAACTTAAGATTATGATCAAGCTAAACAGACTTTAATAATTCACCCCTTGTCGCCTAAAACATTTCCATATGACTAAAGATAACGCATCAACACCGCGTCCACGCGCCGGTAAGATCCGTATCTTCGGTTTTAATTTTACTTTTTAACCGGAAGTGAATGTCATGAACTTTGCGGTGCTCGCTTATTGTTGATTTGTTTGAAACTGGACCCGTGCATAGTTAATAGCGGCCATACTGGTTTCTCCTCACTGACTCCTTGGGTGTCTGGAGTTGTTAAAACCACAGAAAACCTTCTCGGATTAATCTTTTTGACGTTTAGATTGTCGATTTTCATGCTTCGATGTTATCAGACGAGTTAAAATTCCCGTTCAGGGCCATTTAATGATGACGGGTGTATACCTATAGGTGCGTTGGCAGTGAGTTAGGAACAAAGAGACTCGGACAAGCTCGCTCCCCTTACCAAGTCAAAAAAGACTGGCGATACCGTTCTCCATTGTACATAACCTGTTATAATGTAATACGACTCCCATTGTGAAAAACAAAAATGAGAGATTTATTTATAAACCGAATGGTTTTTCAGCATGTGCGAGTATTTAAACGAATCTTAGTACTCTTACTTAAACATTGCATGACAAAGGATCTTTATGAAACGTGATCACAGTATTATACGACGTTGATATTTTAATGATAAAAAATCACAATATTGAGTTGGTTTTTAACAACAACAAAAAATTTCCAAGCACCAATTTATTTCAGTTTTGTATGTGTAATTGCGAATTGTGAACTTTTCTGTCTGGGTCAAATCAGATTTTGATAGAAAGATGACCGTAAAGGAGACACGTTTGATTGCACCTGTAAACTTTGGTAATAGATACAGTAAGCTAAAAATGAACGACACGTCACCACACAGCTGTTTCGTCGTTCTTGGACTCATCAGGGGACGAAAAGGCGGAAATCCAAATTAGTCTAAACTACTGTTGAAACAGAAGGGGAAGTGCATAAAGTATTAAGTTAGTGTATTTAGAAAAAATAAGGATTACTTGTTTTGTTTTTAATTAATGAAAAACAATATGTGTCTATTATGAATTGTGTCACTACGCAAAGACGTTATTAAGGCCATCAAAATAATTGAAAATCGAACCTATGCTAACAGTTATGAATGTGCATGATTGTAGTTTATTCTACAAAAGTGTGCTATTTTTGTAGCCTAATACATAATATACATCTATCATTTTTAATGATATCATATTCTTATTGAAGTTTGTTTAATCAGTGTTCTACAAATAATAATATTGCAGTTATGTGTTGTCAAATCGGCCCTTCAACATTTCCTACCTAAAGTTCATGATTAGATTATCAAGAGTGCACCTATTCAAATCTAATGGGCGTCATAATGCGCTGTACGCGATAGTCCTGTTTACTCTGTAAATACAAGTTGTATTTGATATGATTCCATGAATTACATACACATGTATATCAAACGCGATACACGGTACGAAGAGAAAGTTCGTTTTGTACCTGGTCAAACATACGACATGCATATATAAAACGGAGGTTTGGTATCAATTTCAACCTTTTTACACAATACTTACGTTGTCTATAAGCCTGCGCTTTCTGTTCAGTGACACGAAAAAATGTCGAGTTCATTTCTATATAAACCCGAGTAAACAGGATGGCATATGTTCGTGTGTAAAATCGGAGAAGAAGTAGGCGGATATAATTGCTATTGTGTATTGTGTCTGTGTGCACTTTAAGGTACGCGTGTTTTCGCGTGAAAGAAGGCCTTGTTTTTATGTCAGTCCACGTAACAAACAGGTGTCGATCGTCATAACACTAGATCATGTCACTCAATTATTAATTTTAATTACTCAGAAATGAATTTAGCATGCATCTTTTCTCGTTTGATGAACACACGATACCTGCCATAACATTAGAGAAGTTTTACATAAGACACGAACTCATATCCCGGTAGACGCAATGAAAGTTTAAACGCTATTGGCGGCGGTCAGGATAATGTAGCGAGAGTCAATATGTGACGTGTTTATATATTAACCATGACTCTCATATCAGTCTTTTTTTAAATCGATCTATTTATGGTACGTATCAATATGGTTTTATCTAGTGTAGCAACTAATTACATCCAAACATCCCCCAATCCTGAATTAACAATATTTTTATTTCTTTTTCTTATTTTATTAAAAGTGATGAACAACATCAATTGAAGATCCGTATCATATTGCAACTGTCTTCCCGCCACATTCACACAAAAAGTCGTGTTTAGTTTCATTTCATAGAAATTGGTCGATTGAATGACACGGTCATGCAGTATTACCGGAAGTTTGCTTTACATAAACGATAACTCTGACCTATTTTCATTTCTATTTTGTTTACATTATCTACATTGCATGGCGTTTCATTGCGATAACGCATTGTTCTAGATATGGTCTTGTGTTTTAATTCATTAACCGAAAATTCTTACCATTGCATTTATTTTTCTTCAACAGGTGCCAATTGAACATGATACACCCAATTCCATCCACCCGAGCGATGATCCCGTGTGGACTCCCCCTGGTGGCGAGATTAACGATGACGAAAGGCACCATAATCAGCTGATCAACCTACAGTTCCAGCAGTCCCTTCTGCGGATAAAGAGCTGCAAGCGGTCTAATTCCAGCGTGGTAAGTTAGACGTCCTTGACGGGTGAAACTTAGTTACTAACTGAAAACTGATAGTATTAAAAGAAATGGAACAGGCATGTTTGTCGTATTTTTCCCATCGTTGTTTTTTTTTCCGTTGATAAGTTACGAACGAAAATTGTATTTGAAAATAAACCGTTTACATGATATGAGCCAGGCTTTGCTATCTTGTCCACGTTACAAAACTAATTTGTTTATTTGTTAATTATGTTATCTGCAATGAACTAACACACACAAGCCAATAACGTGATTTTTTTTACATGAAATGCAATGCTTGTTAATTGCAATATAATATTAACGCGTGAAAGTAAAAAAGACATTTATTTAATTTAAGCCGAATTAACTTTTAACCTTGATATCGAATTTCATACAGTTTTTTGTTGGCTTTTATGACACTCTGTATAATTGACACCGGAAACGACGCCATTATATTTCGTTTGCCATACGATTCCATAGTTATAACAGTACAATAACACACAATGGCGGTACAATACACCGGGCACTTGTCAAAATTTTGTGAAGGGTGGGAGTAATATACGGATCTTTGGGACAGGATAACGCCTAAAGTTCACCCGTAATGACAATAAAGGATAAAGAGGCCGCCCTTGTCGAAGCCAGGGGGCCACAGAAAAAATAAAATGTTTATTCTACACCGTAAGCGTCTTATTGCAATTCACAAATATTATTTTGACAAAGACATAAAACAAATAATAAGATAAATGCGATTTAAACGAGGCCATCCTGGCAATTTATCAAAAATACAAACGAGTCGGCACATCTCAAATCTTTTGTGTACATACGACGTGAATTATTGAAATGACTATTTTATTGAAGTTTATTATCATACGCTTCATTACGCTGAACCCTGAAGTCGTAAATACATTAATGAAAAATAAGACGGAACTATATATGTGAAGTTATCAAGATTTCCAAATCAATATATATTTTATATCTCAATCTGACGTAACCTTTCCTCAGTAAAAAAAAGTTCAAAATGTCAATAACTGTTTTTCTCTACGCCGCCATAAATCCTTTTAAAAATCCTGTGTCAAAATGAACGACATTATCATTTTTATAAAGACTACGGTTTATCCAGAATTTATTATATTTATTTTGCAGTTTTCGTTGTTATGGAAACGGTTTTGAAAGGCTAATAATTATTTTCAAATACACGAGGAAACAACAAGATACAATAAACCTTAAAAATGCAATTCGATATAACTAAAAATGAGTTTTAAACCCCCACGATAATATCTTGTGTGCACGATCCTTCAATAAACATTTGAGTTTCAATTTATTACGCTCGTTGCTTTCCGCATAAAACTGAGTTACTCAGAAAATGATATCATATTTATTTGCATATAACCATTTAACTCCCATATCTGGAACTCTTTTATAGCGCTATTCGGCGGTGAATGCCCTTTCACTTGTCAATATGTTGGTATAATTATTTTTTCACTGAGGCCATCCACAAAAAGCACTATATGGTGCGATCAGAGCCATCTCTTTTGAATATTGTTTTGTGAATTTCTATTTCACCAAGGTCGTTTTCTCTAAAATAAACGGCGGTAGTTTAGGAAAAGGTAAATTGTTATGGTAACAATTATATTCAATACCATTAACTTAGTTTTGTATGATATTTTAAAATTCAAACGCACTTTTAAATGCTTGTCACCAGCTATGTAAATGAGTAAAATTATTCGTTTTATTCAAGGTTGTTCTGTTCGTAAGAAAACGTCTCGTGCATATACCGCTACTGCTAAACATAACATTACAAATTCGGATGTTAAAATCCTTCATAGAATGCAGTATCAACGTCAGGAAGGATTTGGTTTCCGATTCAAGAAACATGGGTGTAGATTTGTATGATGAGAGATGAAATTTCCGCCAAAATTCTCTGATCAACGTAAAAAAAAAATCGAACAAATTCAGATGTTTTAACCCCAAATATAATTCTGATTGATTTTAATTGCATTTTGCACATCAGCAACACTTCTTGTATTCGATTCAAGCTACGAACTTGCCGTAGATCTGTGTGACGAGAGTTGAATCTCGCGCCAAAATAATTCCAGCGACGTTTGAATTACGGTACCTTAGGCATTCTAGAATGAATAAAAATACATTCAAAACCACGGAAAATAAATCAAATCATTATTTTCTATTAATAACATCGTGTTTACGCCCTGGTGAGGTCCTGATATCTGATTTTCCCGTACTTTATACGTGTGTGATTTGAGGTATTACTACATACATCTCTATATCTCATGCCCCGCATGGCTAGCGGTGCGTAGGGTCCCAGTTAAATCAATAAATAACATTAGTTTGAATTTTCCTCAACAACTAGGTATAATAATAGGAATTCAATTATAGATAAATACTTGATGTGACTTTAATTGGACAATGGCCCCGGGTTTCCACCATAAACTACACCACACCATTGATTTTGACAGAAAGAACCTATACTGTTTTTCTTCTAATAGTTTTACGGCTTGAGGACACGCATGCGTAGAACTGCCATACATCAAAGGAAGCACGTGCGTTAAGCACAACATACTAATAGGTATATGACTTGGCTATTTTTTGTTCTCTTTTATACTTACATTTATTTAATCATATCTATATTTTTATTTCTTGCAGACAATTTGAGGAGCAGTTATGGATCAGCTACGAAGAAAATGTTATGGGCAATTTTATGATTTGCAAGATGAATGATTCCATTTAACTACATTTTTATCGACTTCATTACAATCATCGTCCATAAACTGACATCATGAATCATTTGGAACTCTTTCGTGCTGGAGGAGAACTTATAATCATGTGAAAGTCTTTAATGGCCCATCAGCTAGTTTATTTACAAAAATGTAGGTAGTTATGACTTTTCTAGACCTTAGATTAGGAATAATGTTGAATAAGAAAGGAATGATGTGAAAGTGGTCAAAATTGACCAGTGATTGACCACAATCAGCGTTGTCAAAAACGCCTTATAGACTCCGAAGTAAAGACAACCGCGGAAAATATTCATTGATAGTCAATCGACACCTTACATCGATGATTGGTCTCTTGGAAGACCTATCAGCATCGAAAAAGTTTACTAAGCCTGACCATCCAGCCCGGAACACGGCCAATATCTGACCAATAGGTGCGCCAGGACAATCATCCCTACAAAATCTCCATTTTAACAATGTAAGTACAAAATAAAGAATGGACAATCTTAAAATATATTCAACGTTAACCAGAGACCAACCAAATAGCCTTTAAAATGAATGTTGGATTATGATATCACAATAAGTAGACGCCAATCAAGTCGTTATCACGTGATAGTAAAATGGTACAGTGAATTCTTCCTGACGTTTGGAAATTAGACCAGAGCCTTTAGCAATCCATATCTGTGATAGAATTGGCCAAATTGTAGGTTGATTGGTATGCTATATAGTGTCCCCGCTGGCAGCTCTTTAAATTGAAGAGATATATAACTTCTCCACATATAAACAGGTGTATAATATTGTGAAATATCCGAAGGCGTACAAAAACACAAATGCAAAAACCAAAACAAGAGGTCCATGAACTGCTCCCCTTCCTATTCCTTCTCTTCACTCCTCTCCCCCTCCTTTCCCCAAACAAGTGTTCCGTATCATCGATCCGTTCACTACCTTTTCTCATATAAATACAGGTGTTTTTTCTCATCGATTCTTTCCCCTCCCTAAAGAACAAACGTCAATTTGCAACATTTCAAAATGGCCATAAAACATTTTGCTGACGTCGACGTAGATGTGGTTTGACCAGTAAATATATAACATATTCGTTCATTGCCAATTAACTGGTAGTACAGGTAAGTTAATAACTAATCACCTGCTACAGTATGGCGTAGTTCATGTACGTGTACTTACGGGCCGCACGACGTCCATTAACTGCCGACACGTACATGGCCGTTTTTGTTGATAGCGACTCTTCAGGATCAGTGATAATTAGCCATGAAAGCGCCCTACCTCTAAATGTCCGCTCTTATCTCGGGTCCGTAAAACTCTTATTATAAACAACGGTTCTCAAACTGATAACGAATCCATGTTAATAATTTGCTTTCCATTAAAAATCTGGGTCCACCTGAAGCTTTGTTAGCATAGGTCGAAAGTCTCACACGTGTCTTTAATTACTTGTATGGATGTTTCAGCATTCACCGTCGTGCTGGTCAATACGCGGACGATAGATATATTTACTGTGTAGTGGTTTTTGTTTTAAAGTGCATTGTGTAGGCAATTAGCTTACGTATGTTCTTAATAGGTAGCTGATGATATTCCAGCTAAGACTCTATGTACTTTGGTCCAGATATGTAACTGTTCTAGGGGTTCCTGCGGCAAGTTGAATCAAAGTAACATACCTATCAGGCGTCCACATAATACAGGTGATAATGGTGTCCCGGGGGGAGGGGCAACACGACATGTAAGTGGTAGCTAGACCAATGTCCGCGGTGGGGAGACAAAACACGATGGCTTTAAGTAGAAACTAAATTTGAGACTAGAGTCCCGGGAGTAGCCCTAACACAACGGAGTACTGTTACGGATTACGCGTTTAGGCGATATTCTTATAATATCACCAGTTCTCTTTCTAGACTTTGGAATTTGATTGAGGATTACGTACTTGTGTAGTGATACGTACACCTCTATTGTGTTCTGATTACTGAACAACCCGTATGGAAATAATTGCTGCGAAAAGAAGTGCATTCTATAAATATCCTAATTTTTTCACGATAAAATGTGGTAACAAACGTACATACATAAAATGAAAAACCAAGAACGTGCTTTATATTTCAACCACCTGTTTACAACGACCGTGTGTACACTGTGGTTAAACCTCGATATAACGCCCCTTGTTTCGTTTGAAACCTCGCTTACTGCCAATAAATTTAGAGTTCTTCTTTTTCCTTTCTTCGTAACGTCTCCCTCAATGTATCGCCAGACCTCTTTATAACAACCAATATTTCTCTCGACAACTTATGGCAGTATAACAGGTTTTACTCTATAAGATCACTCGCATCACGATCACCATCACAAATTGTTGCTATAACGTACAAGGGATACTAATGCTACACTTTATCAGAAAATTAATACATAATATTTTAAAGGTGGTAATTTATAATGTATTTCAATTTGTGATTTCAGATGACCGTTACGAATGCGAGTGGGTGTGATGTTGGTCACAGCAAGAGTTGCCTTATTGATCGTCTCCGGGCGTGTCCGGACAGGTGGACATCCCCCGGATAACTCCGAACAAGTGATGATATGGACACGTCATAATTCATACAGAAATGTTGATCTCATTACGGACAAATGATCATTAAACTGGACACGTGTCTCCGGACAATTGTTACGTGTACGGAAGCATTACTGGACATTGGGCATCCATTACCTTAACGACCTACAATGTATCTCCTTCTCCGGACACTCGGATGAAAGTGACCAGTCATGTTAGGACATTAGGAAACACTTGACGGCCGTGTTACACCTGTACCTAGCATTAATAATCATGTCGCGTGCCTGGCGGAAACTCATGACGTCATCACTTACATGTACAGGTAGCTAATTAATAACCACATCGATCTCATAGTGCCTCTTACCTCTGTCTCTCTACCTGTCCAAACGTGCCAAATAAGACTCAATTTATTTTTCTAATGTTACAAAGCTCAGTTACTGTTAATCAAAATAAAATGTTATAGAAACTTATAAAAAATGGTTTATTGTATTTCTTCATTGGTTTCGGTGTTCGGCAAGTGTGCATAGTTACAGAGCTTCTGTTTACTTATTTACGGGTGACGCGTCAGCGGTTTTTGGTGTTAGCCAAGGGTGTCTTGTTCCTCAGTACCTTTGTTGATTCAGTGTAATGTTTAATTCATAAACTTTTTAAAACGATGATTATGCGGGTTTTATTTACTGCATTGTTTCAGTATCAGTTTTCGTAATACTGTATAAGATTAATTGAATATTCGATTGATGTGGTGTTTTTTAACGTGTAATTAAACTATATCAAATTTTAAAACGATAATTCAACACCCAGATCGAACAGTAGCGCGGCATTATTATACCGTTTTGGATTCTGATACTGCTTTATCAAAATTCAATTTTCTGATTTCGTAACTTGATAAAACAATAAAAATCGGTTTCAGATTTTGTACAAATTATTATCGTCATTCAATTTGCTAATTATCTAAAAAAAAAAATGAGAATGATATCAGGCTGATATCGCGACTAGATTACTCTGTCTTTCACAAACAAGAACACGCCAAAATGATTTATATAATACCAATTGCAGTAGGGTTTTTTTCTCTGTGACAAGCAACCGACCAGTAATGAGTTGTTTTGTATGAAGTAGACCAAGATCGCATACATAGATCGACCATTCAAACTTAAGTTTACATACCGCACCAAACTAACCATTACAGTTGTCAAACGGAATGACATGCTGCACATAGGGACACGGGGGAATGTGAACGGCTCAAGAAAAAAAACACATACACATAATTTAGAAATTATACGGAATCTTATACACAAGGGTTCAGATTATGAAAATAAGCTGTCTTTGAAATTGTAATTATGTCTTCGTGAGACTTCGGTAGGCGTCTACGCCGTCGCGATCAAATTAGGGTTATGGTTTTTGGCATCGTGTTCTAAGCTCAAATTAAAGGAAAGGGATGAGAACTTTCTCACAGATGTATGTATTATGCAAAGTATGACAGGTGATCGTTACTTAATGCACCAGTCATTATAGGACCTTTTATGTTACGGAGACGTAACATCATGGACCAAAAACCCCGAGGAATAACCATCTATAGCTTTATAAAGTATTAAGTCAAATTTCCAAATTTACGTTTTATCTAAATATGCTCAGAACTATGAGTGCTTTTGTATATATTTTCTTATTATGAACATTTAGAGTCCCAGGACTTGTATATTTTGTTTTTTGAAGTTTTAAATAAATATGAAAAGATCACCGAATCAAAATTCACTTTAATGTATAATAAAAGATGATGGCGTACAGTGAAAACGATACTACTATTAATCAAAGCCTTGTTATCTTAACCATAATTTCACACAGAAGTTCAATTCCATTCACTTTCAAAATTGTTGAAATTTCTCCATAAAATATCCTGCAGATCAATTTAAAATATTCTGGTAACTTAATTAAGATTACGACGCTTTTTCAAAACTTCAAAATGAATTCTAAGGGTGTGTTTGAAGATTTAAACTATTTAATTTTAAAGCTTACAATACTTTCAACATTGAGGTTTTGAAGTCCATACATATGCACTGCTATTCTTCTTAACTGGTTGTGTGTTGCTCCTTCAGGATGTAACTGATAATTGTAAATATACAAAATACATGACACGGGGTGAATTTTTAATAGCATTATATAAACGACAAGTCGGTGCTCGGGTGTAGCTTATCTTGTTACAAAGAGGCAATGAATATTACCATACCAGTTATCGTGCCTGTTTATAAGTTCGTATTGCAATTTCTTTGGCATGGGAGTCATATAATTTATTTGAATGGCAATTACGACAAAGTATATCGGATTCCCAAACTCAGGCCCATACAAGACTTGTGATAGATCTTAAACGTTGTGTACTGTAGTGCTCACGTTTCGCTTTTTGTAACTATTTTTATTTCATACGAATAAAAAGAGGATTAATGAATATTTTAGTCTAAGATAAAGGCTATATAACAAAGCTGTAAAAACACATGAAAAATCAAAATTGACTGTTTAATCATATTTTTAGCAGAGAACTTTTTTCTCATATTTTTTCAAGAAAAAAGGATAATTTCTTTGAAAAAACGTCGCTAAGGTTACATTACCACTGGAAATACGTCAACAGGAAACATCTATATGAAATTCGTAATATAGATGCAGAAAGCCATACCATATTGTCAATTTATGGGCGGATTGGTCGAGTGCTTCCACGTAGGCGGCCGGTGTTCGCCGAGGTCGTCATACGCATGGAATATTCAGAAAAAAAAGAGTTTTTCTCCTGCCGAAACAACTCCACAACCCAGGTGGAGTATAAAATGATCTGGGGTGGATTAAGTGAGGTGGCATTATAAATGATACCGTTGGAAGCAGGGTCCCACTACAAATAGAACACATTACATCTCGAGCACGCACGCAGGCATACACATATAGGGAAATATTAGTAAGGTGGCATAGGACTGCAGTAGTTAACGTCTGATAAGGCAGCTCTTGCGAATTCCTCAAAAATTGTATTAATTAATGTATATGCTAATTGTGTTAATTGTATGTCTATGTACTGCAAAGCGCTTTAGAGTGGCTTATGTTACCTGGATGGGGCACTATATCAAATGTTGTATATTTTTGTATATTATTATAGGACCAATTATGAGAATCAAAAGAACGAAAAACATTTAGAATGCAGCGAAAAGATAAGTATGCCCATTAAACCCCTTTAAACGTTACGAATTTTCAATTTTTGTTACACCAGACAATTTATAGAAGTATTTCATACCGTACCAGAATAAATTCCAACTATTAAAGTTATGCCAAGTATACAAAATCTGAATACTTACTGGGACTCAATAGTCAAACGACACCCTTTAAGACAAATGGCACGTCATAATTACTTTATCAGAACACGTGTACCGTTATCATTGGTACATGTACGTATACGATGTAACGTTGGGATGAGACATTGTTTTGTCTGTCTGAAAAATGAGCTGCCTGTATTACATTCTCACAGATAAAGCTTACAACCATAACCCGTTGGGCACTCACTAAGTAGCGTGGGATCTGCTGTTTGTCTCACGGCGTTGCCATGTTTTTTTCCTGGATGTCTTCGGACTAAAACATCATTTAAAGACGTGTATCGTAGTTTCAAGAAAAACACGCAATTTTAAATCACACGGGTATTGATTCAACAGGGCGAACCATTTCAAAATACCATTAGCACAAGGAACCCGTGTATTTGACTACAAAACGGATCTCGCTCAATGAATAAAATAATGGAATGTTCTCGTTTTTTTTAAACATTAGTCTGCATCATTGTTTTACGTATGTATGTTGGAAAGCTCAGATTCAAACCAGTCGTTAATATAAGCGAGGTAGGTATTGAGTACACGATCACTTACCCTAGGTGGCATCACAGGCGCGTAGCTGGACTTCAAATAATGTAAAGTAACCATTCCCCCTTCCCCGAGAAAAAATGAAATCCAGACGTGCTGTGATGTTATTTGGTGTTTTTAGAGCAACATTTAGTGTTCGATTTATTACATAATTCCTTTTTTGCTTCCTTTTTCCCCCCGAATTTCGGGACGAAAAAGAAAAGGTTATTGATTTGACCGAAAATAGCTTAATGAAATGGCAACCAGAATGAAACGGCACAGAGAATGAACCAGATGATGAAATGGCACCCAGAATGAAATGAAAAGTTTAACTAGCTTTATGAAAAGATGACACAATCATTGATTAACAGGCTTGGAAATATTACGTTCTAGCCAGTATTCTTAACAAGTGTATATGCTTTACGATACTATAAAGATCTCAAAAATCATTATACAATTAAAGCCTTTTGGTAAGATCGATACATGGGTTATTGAACCTGAGAAAATCATTAACCCAGAACGATGTACCAGGTCAATATTTTCTCGGATCGCTGAAGGTTCATAAAAATATATTTTTAAAAAGTGGATTTTTTTGTCCAGAGGTAAAAATGGCAGTCGGCAGATCAGAGTGCTATTTTCATTGTTTGTAGCCCTGTAGTCACGGTCAAGGTCATCACAACGCTTGTCGATCTATTTCAAGAAACACCCAGTAACCCAACTTTTAAGCAGCTTTTTTAAACAGCCGTCAATATCATTTTTTTATCGGGAATCACATGACAAAAATCCAGCCAATCAGGAGATGAAAAATGTATTATTGCATAATTATATGTATGATAATAAGAACAAATTTGTTAGATTTTGAATCATGCAACCCAATGACGACAAATTCTTCAAACTTTCCCGGATTCTGAACATGGGGTATTTCGATGATAAAAAGTTTAATGAAAGTCAGATTTTTTGTTAGAATCACAACAACACGTAAATTTGTGTATTACGTCAGAATATTCATGATTGAAATAGTAAACAGCGAGTATCACTCTGACGTAAACGAAATAGCGAGTATCGGGATTACTCCCGTGAACAACAAAAACTTAATCTAATTTATCTAATTTCAAATAAAAACTTAACCAAATAACAGACAGTCATGATACAAGAGTTGATTGAGACACGTCCTATTGTGTGTTGGCATATAATTAATTTTTAAAAATGAAAAATTATCATGTATATTGTATACAATACTATATCAAGCTATGAAAAGACTTCATATAATACAAATAAAAGGGTAAGAAAGTGCGAACGTCATAGTTGACTCCGTTTTCGAGATATTGTGATTCAGCGGCGATCGCTTCGATATGGATAGCCCACATCTGTGACGTCACAAGTTCAACGCTGTCAAAAGCTTCAAACGTGCGTTCGATTTGCGAGGTACACAGAATGAACCAGATGATGAAATGGCACCCAGAATGAAATGAAAACGTTTAATTTTCATATTAAAATGATAAGTTTTATTTTCGTATAATAAAAACCCGTATTAAAAAAATAAAGAAAGTTAGCTTTACATTCACCAGTCTGAATCAGAGGTACTTTTTTTCTTAAAATCATAAGCGACATTTT